GCCTCAGACCTGCTGGGGGCAGCTGGGGCACGTGCCGCGGCAGGAGCAGGCGTGCGGAGGCGGCTGGGGCGGGCGGGCTAGGCCTCAGGCGCCACTGCAGCCCGGCCGCTCCCCCAGCCCAGGCCAAGGTCAGGCAGCACTTGGCGGGGCAAGACGCAGCCCGGGGAAGTGGGCCGAGGCCGCCTGGGCCTCGCCACCCGCCCGGTGCGGGCCTGAGCCTCTGTCACCAGGTCCAGGCGCCTCGCTGCGGCTCACCAGGCCGTCCCCAAAGTGGGGGTGGGGCGCCCGCCGTGGTACAGGGGCAGCCGCGCCCGCCTCCTGCTGGCCAGGGATTGGCTTCTTGGGCTGTGGCGTCCTGAGGCTGAGCAGGACTGGGCCTGTCTGCAGCGAGGACCAGCAGTGCCCCCTCGCTAGCCTGCGGCAGGGTCACCCCCTTGACCAGACTGAGGGCCGTGGTCAGGGCCGGCGCCCGCTCACCTGGCCCTCGCTTGCAGGGCTGCGCAGGTGCCTTCCCCCTTGGCGGGGGCTGGATGCCGGCGGACAGCAGTGGGGCAAGGCTGCTGGGAGCAGTGGAGGACCCACAGGCGGGCAGGGCAGTGGGGGGCTCGCGGGGTCTGACAGTCCCAGGGCAGCTCCTGGGGCCTCAGCCCGTTATACAGAGGGTCAGGGCCAGCCGGGCGGGCGTCGCTGTCCGCGTGGACACAGTTAAGGAAGCGTCTAGCAACAGGGGGACCTTGCCCCGGGGCAGAGATGTGGAGGGAGGCTGGGGCGCAGCACCCCGCTCAGGGAGGCCCCAGGGCCTCTCACCTGAAGGCTTCTCCTGGCAGGCTGCGCCTGTCCCTGTTCACTACAAAGGAGCGTCAGACCTCAGCAACAGTAACTTTAATTTGCTACTTTGCACCATCACAGTATTGCTGGTAAACCCAACAGGACCGAGGTCGGGAACCAGAGCAGCGTCCTTTAGGAGGGGTGAGGGGCCGACTCCGGGCCAGCATCCCACTTGCATTCACAGGTCCGCGGTGGACAGAGGCTGTTCCGGCGCGTCTGGAAGTTTGTGGGTCCTGAAGTTTCCAGACACTGGAAAGTGGCTTGTGAACCGTTTCCTTGGACAGCTGCTTCCACTTGGGCCTGGAGCTGCCAGGCTTCGTAAAGATCTTGGGGGGGACGGCAGTGGGGAAGGGAGGGAGGCTCAGGCCCAACCCTGGCCGCTCCACCTGGCCAATGTCGGGGTGCTGGGGGTCACGCTCATTTATGGGAAGTCTGGAGGGGACATGTGCTGTGGGCCCTCAGAGGGTCTTCTGGTGTAGGGGCCCCCTAGTCTCCGAGCCTGGCCCAGAGCTGGCACGCGGGCGGCCACTTTCCCCATCGTGGCCTGCCCTCTGGGCCAGAGGGACGCCGACCCCGTGAGGTCAGTGGCCAGAGGGCCGCAGTCTGAGTCTGTCCGTGGACTCGGTGCCCCGGGCCGAGGGCTGTGAAGGCGCCACCTCCCTCAGTCCGAGGCCCCTTTCCCGCAGGCTGGGGCCCTAATGCCAAGGCCTGTCATGGCGCAGGGTGCAGCGGTGGCCACACGCGGGGCGTCTGGGCTCCGGGTCGGCTAAAGCCTGGGGCTCCCCTGTGCACCCAGGGCTTCCTCCCCTTCCCGCTCTGGCCTGGGCTGTGGGTCGGAGGGTGCGGCCGCAGCGGCGCACTAGAGAAAGAGCTCCTCGCAGAGCCGGCGCGTGTGCTCGGGCGCCGTCACCGTGTAGCCCTGGGTCCGGGGGTCTGCGAAGATCTCGTGGTCGTTCCCCCCCTGCAAAGACACGAAGCAGATGGAGGCCTTGACGGAGGCGCAGGCGGGACAGGGCTCGCGCACTCCTGGGCGGCACGTGGCCGGAACAGGCGCCCGCCGCTCGCCCTTCTCTGAAGGGAGCAGCCGGCACCCCTGCGGGGGCAGCTGCCACCCGCAGTCACTGCGGTCTCGTTCTGGGTCCCCACCCCTAGGCAGAGGCCAGGGACTTGAGGCCCCGCTGGGGACCGTCCTTTTCCTGGGCCAATTTTGGGAGCCAGCGGGGGCCCCACAGGCCGACGGAAAGAGACCCAGGGCCACTCAACCCGGCCACTCACGGCCAGCACCAGCTGCTAAACAAGGAAGGGAGAAGCCAGCTCCCGTTGGAACGGCTCCGTGGCCGAAGAGCTCCACGGAGCCCCGTGGCCGCAGCCTCGCACCGCCCGCTGCACACCTGCGGGGTCCTGCAGGCCGGGGACTGGGCCTGTGAGCCCGGCCACCTCCGCCTCCTAGCACCTGCCGGGCAGGGACGGCAGGATGGAGGGCGGGGACAGAGGCTCAGGCCATCCCTGGGGGAGGGGTGAACGTAGCATTTCAAAGCGTCTCCCCTACTCCTGGGGTGGGGGGCGGGCTGCCCAGAATCTGGGTTGTGTATCTCACACTTAGCAAAGGCACGTCCAGAGAACCCCGCACTGAGAAGGGACCCCTCACCCCACCCGTGGGGCCGCTCCGTGCCCCTTCTCAACCCTGAGCACCCAGAGGCAGCCATGCCACAAACCCCAGCACCCTGTGCCCACGGAGGCAGGGCCCCTCTTGAGAACAGTGGGGTGGGAAGGACGCTTAGCAGAACCTGGGCTTGCACCTGTGCCAAAGGCGCTGGATCCCTGCAGGACGGCGCCACTCCCAGCCAGAACAGAAGCTCCAGCTTCCAGAGAAGATAAAGGGAGGAGGCCATACTCTCAGGGTGCACCGAGGGGAGCCTCAACAGTCCATTCGTGGCTAAATCCCTGCAAGGCCAAGGCGGGGGGGGGGTGGTGAGTGGAGACTGTCAGCAGGTGCTGACAGGCAGGACACCCGCCTCACAGCGCAGGGGGACGTGACATGCTGTCTCTGGCTTTCCACAGTGAATGCAGATGAGCTAAGAATCATGGGAATGACCTCCACTAAGCCGCACCACTCAGCAAGTGGGGACGATTTAACCAAGGCAGTGGCCCAGAGGAGACAACCCTGTGCTCCCCGGGAAGGCCCAGCCTTTGGGGTGCTCCCCACCGTGCCCCGTCGCGTCTGCCCCAGGCTTCGAGGCCATGGGCAGCAGCAAGGACAACAGGCCTGTCCCAGCCCGCTGCTAACCGTTCTCGTGGGCTGTGCAAACCAGAGTTGAGCTGGGGGCTGCAGGAGCGACCAGCCCCCGTAAGCCCGGGAAACGGCGTCAGGTTACTTTTTCTGTAGACGCCCAGCAGAAGCGCCTGCGGCAGGCTGCTGTGTCCCACGCGCCTCCACCGCGGGGAGCCGCGTGCAGCCGGTGCTCAGGCACCAAGCTCCTGTGCCCCGGGCACAGGGCTGCCCTCCGGCACGCATCCGCGCCGAGCGCAACCTGGCAGGCCGCCAGCCCTGTCCCCAGCTGTGGCGCGCCCCCTTCCCCATGAAGGGGAGGCTGGCTGCGGGCAGCGTGGGTGTCTCTGGAGGAACAGGAGCCTCCACGCGTGCCGCGTTCAGGATGCTCCTGGGGGTGGTGTGGCAGCCATGCAGCCCAACAGGGCCCCCGCTGCAGCATGTCGGGGGCGCAGAGGCCGGGAGCAACGGCAGGTGGGGCGCCCTGGGGATCGGCTCTGCTGCTCTCCGCTCCTCATGTTCGCTGTCAGACTTGGGCTTTGTGTCTGCCCGGTCCCCTGCGATGCCCACAGCAGGCCACCTCTCGCAGACTCGTGAGCTCCCTGTCCTCTACCATGGAGGCCCCTGGGCCCTGGGAAGAAGCAGGAGAACCATGCAGGGCCAGGGGCTGAAAGGCAGAGAGGCCGGGAGAGCTGTGTCACATCCTCCCGGGGACGGCACCACCGTGCACCTTACGGCGGCGAGCAGCTGAGGGGACGAAGCCCGTTCGCCACGTCCCCGGGCCCAAAGCGCACAGTGACGCTGCACAAACACCGCCACACCTACCGGCATAGTTTTGTCGCCAAAGAAGTAAATGGTCTCATAACCGTCGTTGGCCACGTGGCCCAGGCAGTATCTCTTGTCCCATCCGTCAGGAAAGACGTCGATGCTGATCTGGCCCCCTGCGGCGTGGGGGGGGGGATGAAAGTTAGAGGTGAGGAGGCGGCCACACCGCAGGACGCGTCACCACCAAGAGCTGCCGTTCAGCAAGATGCCAGCCCCGCAAGGCGGTGCCCCCCAGCCAGGCCAGCCTCCCTCTGCTGCCCACACCGCGGGGGTCCCCACCCCCACTGCCGGGACAGGGGCGCCGTGTCCTCTGCCCCCATGAAAGCAAGCACAGGCTGACCTCAAGGGCTCCCGACCACGACAAACTCCCGGCAAACGGGGCCGCGACCCAAAGGGCACAGGGCAGGTACCTATGGAGAAGGTGACGCCTCTCCCCGCGAACTCTTCCCGCAGGTCCGCCACGAACTTCTGCCTTATGTTTTCTTTCTGCCAGACAGAGACAGCAGCTGTGGGCTGCACAGGAAACCCACGTATGGGCACGCAGGGCCGGCCATGCCGGGCGACTCACCTGATCGAGCTCGTGGAATTCGATCCGTTCTTCTTGGCTGCAGTTCCTTCCAATCGGGGACACATTTAACATTCCATTTCGGAATTCAATGAAAGTACCCCTGGGGGGAAAGGGGACAGAGGGGCGTCACCACGGGGGTGACAGGTGGACGAGCAGGCGGGGGCCAGGCGCCTCAGAGCAGGGCTGCAGGCTGTCCGCTGGCCACGGGCAATGCACACGTGAGCCGTGTGTGGCCAGGGAGCCCCGAAGGGGCGAGTCTGTGGGGAGATGTCAAAGGCTGCGCACGGAAAAGGGGCCTTGCGTCACTGACACTGGGCGACACTGCTTGTGTGTGTCAAAGTGGTCACATTCCCGCGGGACCACTGAGGAGCTGAGCTCCCGGGGAGACGTGGCTTCGTGATTACAGAAAACGAGGCCAGCCCCACACTTGTGTAACTTTAAAGAAAGATGTTGCAAAAACCATTTCCCCTCAATGTGGTTCCAGTTTGAACCTCAAAATAGTTTCTTAAAAAGGCAAAGACAGGTAAGCCATGTGTCCTGACAGATGCCACTTAAGCCTTTGGGGACACACTGCTCATATCTCCCGGTTGGAAGCGCTGATGCCTGGTCCCTCCTGCCGCCGCAGTCACAGCCCTGGCCGGGCCTCCTGTAAACACAGGGAGTGGGGTGCCTGTCTGTGCAGGGCAGGCCCCCAGTCTGGCCACGCTGCCTCTCCCCGGCAGAGCGGCTCAGTTCTACATGTACACTGGGGATCCCCTGGGTGACCCCACGGTGTGGGGCCTAAACCACTGTCCCCCAACTGAAGGACCCAGTTTCACTGCCATTCCCTTGGAGAGGAGGAGGCCCGTTTGTCTCCAAGACCAGAGGAAGTGATTTTCCAAGCACCACTCCCACCGAAGAGCGGGCATCTGAGTGGGCAGCCCTGCCCCGCCGACGTGAGGCACTTACTGGCAACAAGGGGACACGTGCTGATGGAGGCACGCTCAGTTCGGCCCCTGAATTCACAGCACGCCCTGCTAAGTGGACTACAGCTCCCACACCCAGCGCCTCACCCCTTCTATATCCTCCCAAAAGGATCAAAGGGTCAAAGTGCAGCCAGACTGACTCGGGATATAAGTTGTGCTTTCACTGTCACTACGGGGTTCCGACCTGTGGAGGGCACAAAGAACAGCCTGAAGCCCCTGTGCCCTCCCCACGGCCACTGAGACCTATCCAGGTGCAGCCGCCCTCCTGGGACAGCTACCGGGGGAGCCCTGGGCGCTGAGTGAGGTGCTGAGCACGTTGGCGGGGGAGGGGTGGTTCCATGACTTCCCACAGCCTCCAACAGAAAGTGCGGCCTGAACCTCACGACTGAGTCATAGGCTTTGAGAAAGGGCTCAGGCCAAGAGGAAGGTCCACACCGATGCCCATGGAGGTCAGAAACCCGAGGGATGTGTCTGAGACGGGCTGGGGGCCGCTTGGCCGCTAGGACCAAACCACCTCCGCAGTGCAGGCCTGGTGAGCGCTGTTCTCGGTCCCGCCGCGTGGTCACGCCACACAGCGGCCTCCGTGAAGGCTGGCCTCACCGACGCTTCCTGGTCATTCCTTACCGAGGCCGAGGCACTGGGTAGAAATTAACACCAACCCACCAATGGTACCCTCGAGGGCCCCGGGGGCCTCCTGGCTAAACACAGACCCACCTCTTCTTCGGCAGCTTAATTTTCGCGATGTAGCTCAGGCAGTAGTTGATTAAGTCCTGGATCAGGGCCTCACCCAGGTGTCCTTGAATGTTCTGGAGAAAGAGAACGTGGAGCCCCCTGATTCAGCAGGAAGCCTGTCCAGCACGGCCCAGGGGAACCCGGGGTCCGGCCCTGCGGGTGGAGGGTGCCAGGCTGAGGGGCCTGGCCGCCCGCTGCCCTCCTCCTTTCCCTCCCTCTCTGGCTGAGACATCAAACCAGGAGGGGCTTTTGCTAAAAGCATTTTCTGCTTCATTACCACGATTTTTATATTCATGGTCTTTTAAATGCTTCATGGGAGGCTCACGATGGCTTACTGCTACTGGTCTGATTCCATTACAATACCCACGGGCAGCGATGGGAAATCTGTTGCTCTGAGGCTCTCAGGGCCGGAGAGGGCGACCTCACTAGTCCTAAGAGCTGCTCGCGCTTTTAACAATGCTTGCAGCGAAGGAGCCTGCCCTGGCCTCTGCTCTCTTACTAGAAATATCAGGTTACCCCCAAAACATGATCAAAAAGCAATGGCAAAAATTTAGTTAATTTGGAGTATGTAGCAGTCACATGTTCAACATTTAAAATGTAGAAGACCACTGATGATTCGTCCCCACCCCAGCTCTTCAGCAGAACTGCTCCGCAAACACAGAGCCCTCGCAGCGACAGGTATTACTTAGGAAACACTGGACTGGCACCAGTTAGTGTGGATACTTCTCAAAAACCTACCTGTTTACACAAGAACTTGCCATCTTTGTATGCTACCAAGCCATTTTCTGGAAACACATAATCATATTTTTCAACCACTACAACCAAAACAAAAGAAAACTTAGAATGTAATGAACAAAACCTGAGTTTCTACGTCTTAACACTCACCACCGTCACACTGCAAGCTCCAGTGAGGACGTGAAAGGCCTTCATCTGGGAGCATGGGAGGTGCCGTCACAGGTCTGTCCTGGGGCTTCCCTGGCGGTGCGGCGGGCTAAAGCGCGACTAGCCGCAGTGCGAGTTCGATCCCCAGCCCCAGGGGTGACCACATGGCGCAGCAGACCCCTCCTGACCCGCCCGCTGCTCCCCTCAGCAGTGCACTTCGTCAGTCGGCCTGTTCTGCTCCCCACTCTGTCTCTGGTGAATCCTCTCACCCCCCACACCTCTGGCCTGTACCTCAGTTTGGTGTACATAAATCTTTAAAAAATAAAGTTATTGTCCTAAAAAGATCTTAATTTCAAATTTAAAAGATGGCAACACTGGAGACAAGAGACTTGGGACGTTATTTCAGCCTCAGTCTGCCTATGTGGGAACAAAGGTGGGGTCCCTGACAGCTCCTCCACCTCACATGAATCCCCGTCACGGAGCAATGAGTGAGAACATGCAGATTGCCAGGCTCTGCACTTCCAGGCCTCAGGGGCCAGGCTAGAAGTCATGGGGACAGACGAAGCCTTCAGATGCAGTTGGGCTTGGAGACCGCTCTCACAAGAGCTTGACGGGGTCTCAAACTTAGGCACTTGTAAAAGTGCATGTCCCCAGACATCCTGTGTGTTGGGGAGTTGCCCTCTTCTGTATTTATTTATTTTTAAAGATATATTTATGCATACAAGAACTGGGGTACTGGCCAGAGGTGCAGGGGTGGGGTATGTGAGAGGATTCACCAGAGACAGAGTGGGGAGCAGAACAGGTGGAGTGACGAAGTACACTGCTGAGGGAGCAGCGGGAGATAGGAGAGGTCTGCCGCGCTCTGTGGGTCAGCTCCCTGGCCGGGGATCGAACTGGTGCTGCAGTGGCTGCAGGATAGCTTCACAGCGCTGAGACTTAACTGCGCCCCCCCCACCCCCCGCCACCAGGGAGGCCCCTTCTCTGTACTTTAAGAAGCTCCCTGGATGAGTCTACTATGGGTGGGTTTTCAACTTCCTTCTATCTAGTTCATGGTGCCCTGAAGCATACTCTAAAATGCCTGTTACCCTATGCTGACCCAGCACCGCCCTGAGCACAGGTCCAATCCACCCAGGATCTGATTTAGAAAAGCAGGTGGGACCAAGTAATGGGATTTCTGGGGCTTACTGGCCCATCATGGTTCACTTTTTTTTTTTTTTAACTAAGGCATAATTGACAAATTAACATTTGGTAAGTTTTCAGGGTAGAACACAATGTTTACAAATATGCCCTCTTTGAGTAAGTTGTGAAGTGATCACACTTAGTTAACACCCGCCACCATACACAGCTATAATTATATACACAGCTATGTTTACTTGTGACAAGTCACATCAAGATGTTACTGTGTAACTTGCCCCAGCTAGGCCTGGTAATCAGGAGCTCATCTCCCCTCTCCCTGGACTACGTGTTCCCAGAAGTTGCTCCAAGGATATGTAGCCTTGCGAAGATGTATAAAGTGTGGCTGAGACTATCTGGAGTGAATGAACAAGGCTAAAGTCTCGATAAGACTTTGAGACCTGGTGGGGGGCCGTAAAGAGTAGTTTTGTCTTGTGGCGCCCAAGACAAAGCCTTGAGTTTGCTTGGTCAGCAAAACTGCCCTACCAGTCTGAGTAGCCTGCTATTCTTCCGTCTCTCCTCGCTCTCCCTGCAGGGACAGCGTGGGGCTCACCTGGGAAGCTCCCAAGGTGGCAATCCAATGGAGTTCTTTTTTTTTAAAGCTTCATTAACACATACAGAACTGGGGTACAGGCCAGAGGTGCAGGGGTGGCGAGAAGATTCATCAAAGAGTGGGGAGCAGAACAGGCTGACTGACAAAGTACACCGCCGAGGGGAGTGGGTCGGCTGCGCCATGTGGTCACCTCTGGGGCGGGGCTGACCTTGAACTGAAGCCAGCTTGCAGTGCTGTGCTCCACCCCGTTGCACCAGGGAGGGCCCCAATGGGGAGATCTTTTAAGATTTGCTCTTTGCAACTCTGAATATGTGTGGGAATGTTAAGCAGAGCTGATGCTGTGGTCAAGGCAGGCTGCTCCAAAGTGTGCCAAAGTGGCAGCCTAACTTCTGACCACAGTTGCTTGAAAAACAGCCCGTGGCCGGAGGGCACATGGTCACCTCGCCACACGGCCACGTGAAAGGCAGGAAGTGGGGTAGAGAAAGCTGTCAACGCCCTCTGCCTTACGGAGTCTCTGGCTTGTCAGTTCCTCACAAGAGTCCTGTTTCTTTGTCTGAAAGGCGTGAACTGGCCACCCCGGTCACTTCTCAGTCTCCACAGCCACGGATGACATGACATTTTGTCTCATGCTGACAAAATTACATGTTTTTCTTCTCCCATTAACTGTTTCATGTCAATTTAATTATTATACCAACCAAAAGGATTAGGAGGGGGAGCTGCTCCCCATACCACCAGGCTGTCCCCCACTGTGCTGCTGACACGCTTCCAGGCAGCGCACCGGAGCCAGTGAGGTGGCGCAGGCCTGGAGGCTGCCAGGACCGTTCTTCCCGTGCGCGGACTGCAGTGCAGCCCACAGGTTCAGACCAGGAGGTGCCACGTGCAGAACGGCGGCTGTCAGCTGGGCGCAACTGTGCTTCCTGCCGTGGAGAAATTCTGACTGCCCCACCGGGGGCTGGGGGATGCTACTGGCACCCAGTGGGTGAGGCCAGGGTGCTGGGAACAGGCTACAGCGCACAGGGTGGTCCTGACAACAGGAGATGACCTGGCCCTCGGTGGCGGCAGTGACCTGTACACCAATCCCTCCCACTCTCCAAGCCGGGCACCCTGGAGCTCTGGGCTGGGGGCACCACAGTCCTAGTCTGAGACAGACGCACGCCCGGCTGGTTTCCAGCGTCAGAGAGCGCCACGTTACAGAGCTGTGCAGCAGCAGCTCGAACACTGGACTCTGGGGAGGGGGCCGGTAAGGAAATCGGGTTGACAGGGGCCCCTTCCCTGGAGATTCCGGTTCTGCAGGTGGGGCGCACCTGGGCTCCGGGGAACACTGTGTGAGCCAACAGAGAGGAGACCAAGCCCTGCGGGACAAAGGGCAATGGAGGAACAACTAGGTGCGCTCGAGACAAAGCGAGACACTCCCCTTTCAGGTGGGCCCACCCCCGCGCCTCAGAGCAAGAGCTCCTTCAGCAGCCCCAGGAACTTACTTGTAGGACTGAAAACAGAAGGAAATGGAGGAGGAGGAAGCGGGTACACGGCCGGGCGCCGTGGTACCTGTGGTCCCGTCCCGCCTGCCGGCTGGTAACGCACCCCGCTCTCGCCAAGGGCAGAGGGCAGCTTACCGTCTCTTCCCAGCTGCTCCTGCACTTTCTCCAAGTCTGACCCGCCCACGACTCCGATTTTGATTTTCTGCCGCAATTTTTGTAGAAAGCCATCCATTTCTTCGGTAATTTTCTACATTTGGAGAAGGAAAACAACAGCCATGAGCCACAGTCACGGGGCGACGACACCCGCGGGGTGACACGCCCTCACTTCCATGCGTGCCGATTTGGCAGCGAGGTCCCAAGCAGGTCCTGACATTTCCGTGGCCATTTGGAGACATCATTTATTTAACACGCCAGGAAAAGTCTCATTAAACGTGCGGACCGTCCCAGCCCTCTGCCTCTGCATTTACGTGTCTGCCTACACACACGTCTACAAACAGGCCTTACCTGGAAGGACAGAAGTGGCAAGCTCTGTGTCTTGCCTTTTCAGCACTGACTGGTGGCGGCTACATGTCTACACAGATCTAGCACTTCCCTTTCAAATGCCACGTTGTCCCTCATTTATGGATCTAAAAGTTGTCGATTTTAAAACGAAATCACTTGATGAGATTAAACAGGAATTGATTATAAAAACAAAAAGCATGAGAATAACGTCCCTGCATTTTCTAGTCTTTCCCAATCTCTAAAGTTTTATAGAGCAATTTTATACCAGTTAATTTCGAGACCGTGGGTTAATTCAAAAGAAACTGTAAACTAACATGACAAGATAGTCGTGTGTTAAGTGGAAGCAGTTAAAAGTTCTTTACTTCAGCAATCTTTTAACTCTAGACTGAGGCAGATGGGCACATAACGTTACTACACGTTTAAAATAAAACCAAACACAATTATTCAACTTTGGTCTATGAAGATCCAGAATTCCATCTTCTCTTTTTCTCAAAAACACACACAGACCAAAAACACGTTTTCAGCGCAGCACCTGGAGGACTAGTGAGGCCCCCCAGCCTCACGCAGACAGGGCGCACCTTTCCTCCCTCTCCCAAGGGAATCTCCACCTGGCCGGCAAAACCTCAAACCGCTCGGGCGGTCTCAGAACGGGAGCAAGCAGGCGCCTCTGCTCGCAGAACGCTAAAAACGCAGTCCGCGCAGTGACACCCCTTCACCGGAGCCTGAGGGCAGGGCGCTGAGCTGACCCTCGCGCACGCGGCCACCCAGGCCACGCACCCACCCACAGACACGCTCTGGGGAGCAGGGGTTTGTTGTGGTGGAAAGGCGCCCAGCCGCTGTGGTCCGACGCACGGCGTCTAAGCTGCAGCCGCCGCAGGGGCGCTATTCAGAGCCAAGCGGCCTCACGGAAGCTGCTGGGTCCCGACCGGCCATCGCGCAGGACTTCGCTACAAAGCCCCACACAAAACAGAGCAGAGCCAGATCCCAACACCTGTCATGAAGGCAGAAAAAAGGGTAAAGTTCACCTTCTTAAAAAAACCAAAACTTTTTGGGCCGAAGAAACTGGCCACGCAGTGGCGCACACCCAAGGCCACCGCGCAGCTGAGCCCCCGATGCCGGCCGGGCAGCCTCAGTGTCTGCTGGCCGGTCTCGGGCAAAGCGTGTTTGCCGACGCCTGGACCAGGGCACTCAACAACCTAGGGGGCTGGTGAGCGGGGCCGTTTTGTGGGCTGTGACGAGGACACCTGTCCTCAAGCAGGCGCAGCCACTTAGGGTGAGGCTCCTCGGCGAGAGGCCAGGGAAGGGGTGGGCAGCGGGTAAACACAGAGGTAGAGTTAATCTGGCCAAACGTCAGCCGTTGCTGAATCGCCCGGTGGGGCTAGCGCCACTCCGTGCCACTTTTCAGTGACTAACGGAAGATAAAAACAATTCACCCAGTCTCAGGGCCAGCGCCGCGCAGACCTCGGCGAGCTGTTACGGGAGAGGCGCTCCCGAAGACAGCGCGGCCCCACACAATTCTGGGAGCTGTGGGGAGGGGAGTAGTGAGGTCTAACCAGAGCCACCTGAGCGGGTCAAAGCCTGTTCTGGCGGGCGGGAAGTAGGGCCAGCTGGTTCTGCTGCCTCCACACTGGATTGTGCTTATCAGCGTCTGAGATGCACGTAACTTGCACGTCCTGCCCCCCATTCGGGGACTTTGCTTGGCACCCAGAGTTGCTGCTGGTTAAGCTAAATGTAGTCAGGCGGGGAGCATTCTACCAGCGCAAAACTCTCAGTATGAGCAGATCTGCTGAAAACAGCAGGTAGATGCTCTGGCAGGTGAGCACTCCCGGCCGGCTGGACCACCCCGGCAGGAAGTCACGTGCTGCACGGGGACTAGAGAGGGGTGTTCGGACGAGCAGCAACAGCGGACCCTGGCTGTGCCGCCTACGGCGCCCCGCCAACCCCCATCCCCGCCGAGCGCCGCTCCGCAGACTCGCCTCCGAGCCCCACCCCACAAGCGGGAGGCTGGCCGGACTCCGGGCTGTCCAGGCCGCAGCCCCTCCAGGCCTCCCCCTCACTACTTGCGCTGAGCTAGTTTTCCTCCATCCCGCGCCGCTCCCACAGTTGCCACCCCACGAGGCGACAGGTAATGAGAAGGGAAAGGCTGATTAAGTGACTCCATCTGTTACGAAAATCTTGTTTTACCCAGACCACCGAGCACATAAACAATTTTCTCCGAAGGTGCAGATTTCTTTTTTTAGTGTTAAAAAGATTCACGTTCACTGAAAGGAGTTTCATGTCCCAAATGTTTTGTGGGGACATGCTGCGGGTGCCTGCCTTTTCTCGTGACTTTTCACGTTGCACGTGACTTCCTGCCAGGGTGGTCCAGCTGGCCGGGAGTGCTCACCTGCCAGAGCATCTACCTGCTGTTTTCAGCAGATCTGCTCATACTGAGAGTTTTGCCCTGGTGGAACGCTCCCCGCCTGACTACATTTAGCTTAACCAGCAGCAACTCTGGGTGCCAAGCAAAGTCCCAGGAATGGGGGGCAAACACCCCCTTTGATGCCGAGGTTCAGTGGTCAGCTCACACGTGGGGATTGTTAAAGCCCCTTGTGATTTAAAGCCAGACTCAGCGAGTCACTGTGTGTCAAAGGCAGGAGAGCAAATACTTTCAGCTCTCACTCACCATATGGCCTGGAGTAACCATCAGCCTTAGTGCAGGGTAGCCATAAACCACAGCTGACACAGAGTGACTGCCTTCCCGTAAAGCTTTATCTTGTTTATTGCAAAAACAAACAGTGGCCCAACTGGTCCCTGGTCGTGGTGGGAAGGTTGCAGAGTGCAAGCCTTTGAGGGCGTGTGGCTGGGCCCCTCGCCTCCCCTCACACTCTCTCATCCCGAGTGGGGTAGTTGTCACTGCTGACAACTCCCGGTTTTTCACACCACAGACCCGATACACGGCTTGGGACCACAGGCTGATGGTTGCCTGTGTCTCCTGGCGCCTTCCACGGTGGCGCTGTCCTGGTGGCTGGGTGGCCGCTCAGGAGAGCGCTTCCGACTCAGGGTCGAGGAGCACAAAGTGCGAACTGGAGACAAGGCAGGCACCCGTAACATACTGATGGTGTGTGTGTGGGGGGGGCGGAACTTGAAGAGAGGACAGCCTGCTTGCTGGGCCTCAGATTCGAATGTCTGGGGTTCAGACCCGGCTGGGCAAGGAGGAGGTGGGTGAGCTTCCTCACAGAGACTGGTCTTAGTGGAAACCCATCTGCGACCGCCAGCAAAATCTGGAAGTGGGAAGCAAGTTTCCAGGAACCCAAGGCATCTCGGCACCCAGGGCGTCTTCTTGGCCACTCCAGTCCACCCCGGGAGCGGAGAAGGGGGGCCGGACATGTACTGAGTCGTACAGAACGCAGCCTAACGGGCTCAAAACATTTCCAGGGACAGAGGATTTCACTGGACGCTCACAAACCACCACCAGCAGGAAATGACCCCATTTCAGGCGCAGACGTGGACTTGTTCCAGGGCCCACAGCTGTCAGGAGATAAAGAGCACACTCGCCTCCGTCTGCCTGACCTGGAAACCTGTTTTCCTCATCAGGCTACCCGGTACCGACAGCCCGCAGGTGACAGGGCAGAGGAGGGCACACAGCTGGCCAGAGGGCTGCGCGGCGCAGCGCTGAGACCAGGGCTTGGCGTGAGAGTCCACAAGGGCGTTTTTCAAGCCAAGTTTCTTGTTGGCAAGTTTTCGGGCCGTCCATGTGTCCAAGCACCCGAGGTCTTGAGAAATCGGTTCGCGGCGCCGACTCAACCCCCAGGGCACCCGGAACAGAGTGCAGTCCCGCCAGAGACGCGGGGCCCTCGGTCACCCCTCGACGCCCACCCTGGGGAGCGTTCGCCCCGTTTGGGAGCTGCCGGGCTCTGCACCCACTGCCGCCAGTCCTCCCGCGCCGCCTACCTGCCGCGGAGCCGTCAAGGTCCCGTCCACGTCGAAAAGGCAAAGCGCTCGGCCGGGCGGCGCCATGTTCCCCGCTTCCATTCACAGGTGACGGGACTCAGTGGCCCCGGAAGTAGGCCAGGATCTTCCGGGTTCGGCCCCTAGGCCGCAGGGCACGCCGGGTGGAGGAGAACCCACTCCCACAATTCCCGGGAATAGCGCCCGCAGTACTCCCGGGACCACAAGTCCCAGGATGCAGCGCGCCTCGACGCGAGCCTATTACGACTGAGCATGCGCTCTTTAAGGTTCCGGGAGGTCGGTGGGATTCACCTCCGGCAGCCTCCGGCGGGGCCATGGTAAGAAGGCCGTGGTGGGACCTGAGGCTCCGGATCAGGGCTGGGCGGGATCCTGGGGGTCCAGACTCGGAGGATCCGCGGACGGGGCCTCGGGCGAGGCGTGTGATCCGTTACGCCGCGCTTCCTTTGCGTTCAGGTCACGTGTGCCAACCGCGCTAACAGCCTGAGGTCTCAAGTTCAGGGACCCCTGAGGGCTTTGGAACCCTGATCGCGGTCAGTCTGCGCCGAGTCCTCACTGGAAAGCGAGGAACCCGAACTCCAGGGAGGCGGAGTCGCGTGGCCGAGGAGCCGCAGCTGGCGACTGGAGGCGCCGGCTCGGCGCGCGCGGCTGGCCCCGAGCGTCTTTCATTGCAGTGCTCGAGGTGCCGAGCTGTGCACCTGATGAAATCCATATGGCGCGTGGGCGCCTCGGCCAGCTTCTCCGCTCTCTCCCCCTCTCGCAAACCAGGCTACGAAAACAGTAGCTCCACGAGCATCCAGCGCACGCTTCAGGAGGTTGACATAGTTGCAAAGTTATGATGCATACCTCACGGATTTGACCCCAGGAGAGCGATGGCTCAGCTCAGACTGTTATGGGTCCTGTGCCCGGCCAGAGTTGAGCCTCCCGAGGTATTTGCTGAGTGAACAAAGGCTGCACTTCCTTCCCTGTACCTCCCGAGCTGCCTAGAGCAGAGGCTGCGCTTGAGCCTCAGACGGCCCACTCGTTGCTTTATGTCTTTGGGTAAATTTCTTCCTTCTCTGGGCTTAATTGCCTTAGTTTATGCAGTAAAATATGCATAACAGATCTGACCTTTCCTTGGCTCCCAGTAGAGTGGTACCGATCTCACTCAGCGTTCTTGAAGCTCCCAGGAGCTAAAGCCTCTGGCCTTCACTTCCCTGCAGTCTGATGATGGTGACCACACCGGGCTGGTGGGAGTCTCCATGTCACTTGCCTTGTGAAAAGCGTGGTTGAGTTCCACGAGAGCAATGGTTTCCTGTCTCCCTTCCAGGCTGCTCTCCTGCGCACTGTGGCACGGTGGCCAGGGCCAGCTGCGAGGGCCAGGCCTCTCTGTGGACTGTGGTGCTGCAATGCATGGGACCCTAGGAGGCTGCTGGGGAGCGGGTCACCCACCTCAAGGGAGAACGCCCCCAGCCCTGAAGCGGAGAAGTTCCAGGTGGTCTACCGGTTCGATGCCATCAGAGCCTTTGGGGTCTTGTCCCAGCTGAAGGTGGCGCAGACGGCCCTGACAGTGGTGGCCCTGCCTCCTGGCTGCTACTGGTACTCCCAGGGCCTCATGACTCTCGACAGCCTGTGCCTTGCGGGCGGAGTAGCCGGCTTCGCCCTGACCATGCTGTGCTGGATGAGCTATTTCTTCCGGAGGTTGGTGGGCATCCTGTACGTCAACGAGGCAGGCACTGTGCTGCGCGTGGCCCACCTGACCTTCTGGGGCTGGCGGCAGGACACATACTGCCCAGTGGCCGACGTGATCCCCTTCACGGAGAGCCAGGACCAGCCCCAGGAGCTGTTCATGCGGATCCGGCAGTACAGTGGGAAGCAGACCTTCTACCTCACGCTTCGCTATGGGCGCATCCTGGACAGAGAGCGTTTCACCGAGGTGTTTGGGTTGCTGGACGCTCGCAAGGGACCCGCTGGGCGACAGGCTGCCCGGTAGCCCTCGGGCGCCGGCCCTCTGATGGGAGGGAGGCGGGAGGACAGGGCTGGGCAGACTTGGCCAGGGCTCCTGGACCTGTCTGTCAGGATGAGAAGATTTGCGGGGCAGATACCAGCAACTGGGCTTTGAAGGAGTCCTTCGTGCACATTCTGTCTGCACTGTGTGCTGTTTGGCGGGGGGGTGACCACAAGTTTGTGTTCAGGGCTTGCAGGAAGCTGTGCCAGGCTCGCTCACAGTACAGTGCTGTGAGGCCCGGAGGCAGGATGGCAGGGGCGCATACAGCTGGCAGTTAGACGGCTCAGCTCCTTCACACCTCCCTGGCTGGGGCAGACTAGTGAGTCCCTCCACCTGGGTCTTCACAGGAAATGACAGATCCGCCACCTGGGATGGGTGTGAAAATAATCGTTGGCAAGGGCTTTGGCTGCTCCACAGCCAGGGGCCAATGTCAAGCTGTAGTTCGGGGTGACGGTGTGGGAACATCCTCCAGGCTGGCAGAGGGGTGTTCTGAGCCCCAGGTGATCCCATCCCTCCCCCGTAGTGGAAGCACAGAGGAGGGACTGGGGTCCCCGGCCAGGGTGGGGACGGTGCCACAGCACTACTGGTGATGCATGTTTGTCGCGCAGTGCATCAGGGAGTGAGGGGAAGGCACGTGGTCTTCCTGATTCTGCCCCTCAGAAGCCAGTAGCTAAAGGTCACGCAGCTTCCCATCTTTAATTAACACGTGCCTACTCAATTCATCCTTTAATGTACATTCAGTGATGTTAAGTACATTCACAGTGTTGTGCAAACATCACCACTGTCATTTCCAGAATTTTTCGTCACCCCAGACAGAAACACTGCACCCATGAAGCAGTGGCTCCCCACCTTTTGCTGAGGGGAGGTTCCTGCACCCGATCTTGGTCACTGTGGGAAACTTGGGGATTAGAGGAAGGAGAGAAAGGTGGACATTGGAGAGAGTAAGAACAAGAGGAGACGGCTTCTTTAGATGCATTTTTAAATTAAAGACGCAAATGAACCAACTCGGGCTTATGGCTTCGCTTTCTTTGTTCAGTTCTCACTGCAGGTCAGCGCCTGCTGGTGGGACAGGGGCCCTGGGGGGCATTCTGCCCTCTAGGTGTTTGGTGTTTGGGATGGCCAGTCCGGCCATGGCTGTGGTTTTCCTATATCGAGGGACGGCGTGGCTGTGAGCCAGGCCTGGTGGGCCCAGAGCGCCTCACCCCACTGCCGGCACAACCTCTTCCTTCTGGTCAAGTGGTGCGTGTCCCCTTGACTTGGGCTTTAGGGTGAATTTACTTAAAAACCCTGACCTGCCCGAGCACGCCCTCAGCCCCCACCATTCCCCTCCAAACCACGGTCACTCTGCTGCTGCTCCCTGCCCCACTGCAGTGTCTCACAGCAGCCAGTGAGCTGTTAAAACCAGCTGTTAAAACCACTGTTAAAAAAGCGGCCTCTCCAGCCTCCATTTTGTGACCTACAGTTCTGTATTCCTAAAGCAAGGTCAGAACTCCCTGGCTATAGCCCAACCCTACAAGTTACCTTTCACATCAGTTAAGAGCATCAAGCTGGATCACCCTGGGAAGGGTCTGCATCACGAGGTGTGACCGGAAATGCCCGGAGACCTGAGGACGGAGGCATAAACTTACTCCTGACTTCCACATCATGGGTATGACCGGGAACACCCGGGGGCTGTTGACTGATGTGTAACGAAGGACCTCAGGAGCTGATGAGTGGAACGCCTTATTGATAAGATCGAAATCCTGACTGGGGAGTCAGGGTTTGACTGCGATACCAAGCTACCAGCAGATGAGAACAGTTCCACCCTTCCCTGCTTTTATTTCTCCCGTCTCCTTTTCTGCTTCCTCCTATGACTAACGTTGTGTGACTGGTTTATCAATAAGAAGGCCAGGCTCTTGCTCTTGAGCAGCACCCTGCCTGATGTAGCCTGCTCCACGACTCCCGTCCCTTTATCAGGGTGGGGGTGCCCGACGCAACAACCAGAATCCTGTCTGCTGAGGCAGCCCGAACCTCTGCCTCTCTGCCCCCAGCGTGCTTCTCTTACCCGTTACTGCGCCGTCACCTCACTCACTCAGTCTCCTCTTGCAGCACACTCCAGCCCCAGGGCCTTTGCACAGGCAGACCCTGCTGCCTGGAAGCCCTTCTCCCTGACCATCTGCTTGCGGTCCACTCCTGTTTCTCCCACTGTCTAACAGGGTGTTGTTATTTAAGCTCGAGAAGATGGAGTGGAGTTCTCACTGCCTGAGCCAATCATATCATAGTTACATACAGCTGTTGGCCCCTCCGTCCCTTCAGCTGCTCACATGTCAGTGACTGAACGTCCCCACAAAGACAGTCTTTGCCTATCCGGTAGCTGATTAATCTGAGCCTGGCCTCATTAAAACCCCAAATTAACAATAAATTAACTCAAATAGCTACTGGTGTTGGGCTAGTGGGAAGCAATTACCTGAGCAAATCCAGTCCTGGGATTCTGAAGCAGGCAGCCTGGGCTGGGTCCCCAAATCTGTCTTTTTGATAAACATGAAGCTAATTCGGAAAGGCTGGAGGCCTGGGAGAGTTCCCGGGCTGATTTTTTGCCTAAAGAACTGGTTCTCAGCCCTCTCTGGCTGCGCAGCAGGTTAAAGCGTGGCACTACAAGCCAGACGCAGCCGCTTCAGTGCAAGTTTGATCCCCGCCCCAGAGGTGACCTCTCTGGCGCAGCAGACCTGACCCCCTGCTGCCCCCCTCAGCAGTGTAGTTCCTCACGCTTGCCTGTTGTGCTCCCCACTCTGTCTCTGGGGAATCCTCTCACCGCCCCTGCACCTCTGACCTGTACCCCAGTTCTGTATGCATAAATAAATCTTTTTTTTTAATCTCAAAAAAAAAATAAAGAATGGGCTTTCAAGGCTGACCGAGTGTGTGGACTCACGAGAGACTCATTGGGTGACACTGCTAGAATCAGGGCGACCCAGATTTGCATGAGTAGCCTGGTTTGATAACCACAAACCAGTGCGGGAGGAGGGAGGACCACCACCCGGAGCTGAGCGGGCTATTGGGCCGGGATTCCTGCCAGCCTCGGCCTCTCCTGGCCTGGGCTCCCACGCATGGTCTGCCCGCTGGTGCCAGCAGAGGGCGCACGGACCCACCGCATCATCCCCCTGCAGTCCCAAGCCCCAGTCCAGCTCTCCTCGACAGCCGGAGCCGGTTGGGGCTTCTGCAACCTCAGTAGTGCAGAAGCCCTACTTAGGAGACCACAGCCACAAAGATGACAGAATTCTCCAATGCGTAACCCCTGTAGGTCCTGGAGCAGCTGGACCTTTATGGTGTTTTTTTTTTTTAAAGATTTATTTATTCGTGCATACAGAACTGGGGTACAGGCCAGAGGCTCAGGGGCAGCGAGAGGATTCACCAGAGACAGAGTGGGGAGCAGAACAGGCAGATCTACGAAGTACACTGCTGAGGGGAGCAGCGGGCGGGTCAGGAGAGGTCTGCCACGTCATGTGGTCACCTCCGGGGCAGGCGGGAATCGAACTCATGCGGAAGCGGCTTTAGATTCTCAGTGCTGTGCTTTAGCCCGCTGCGCCACCAGGGAGAGCCTTTATGGTGTTTTTTTTAAAGATTTATTTATTTTTTTATATATAAGAACTGGGGTGTAAGCCAGAGGTATGTGGGGGGTAAGAAGAGTCCCCAGAGACAGTGGGGAGCAGAACAGGCAGATATGCTGACACACACTGCCGAGGGGAGCAGCGCGAGACAGCAGAGGCCTGCTGCGCCCTGGGGGTCCCTCCCTGGCCGGGGATCGAACTCGTGCTTGCAGTGACAGATGCTAGCTTGATAGCGCTGAGAGGCCCAGGGCCTCTGTATGTTTCTGCTTCCCAGGTCATTACAAGACTCTCTGAGTTTTGAGAATCATCATTTGGGATTTACTTTTCCCAAAAACTACAGTAAGAGGGAAGCTGCTTCCCAGAAAGTGGAAGTGGTGTTGGTGAATTTTTAATTTAAAAATAAAACAGGGCCTCCCTGGTGGTCTAGAGGTTAAGTCTCAGTGCTACCACGCGGTGGTCCTCCTGTGGCAAAGCGGCCTGAATTCAATCCCTGGCCAGGGAGTGACCCCCAGGGCTGTGTGAGCCAAGTTCCCGCTAGCTGCCAACCTCTCGGGCTTTCGTTTTGCATCTTAAAAAGAGGCAAATAGGGCCCTCCCCGGTGTCTTACGGACCCCTCCTGTCTCCCCGCTGCTCCCTCCTGTCTCCCCGCTGCTCCCTCGGCAGTGTGTTTCAGTGGGTCCACCTGCTGTGCTCCCCACTCTGTCTCGGGTCAATCTCACTCCGTGCACCTCTGGCCTGTGTCCCAGCTCTTCTGCGCAAGGAAAAGAAAAACTGGCTATAGAGACGGACTAGAAGTCAAGCGGCCCTCACAACACAAGCTGTGAGGACAGAACAGGTGAACAAACGCCAGGACAAAGGAAGATTCGGTAATCTCCAAACAACACAAAACAACACAAATGAACAGGAGCGAAACCATGCCCCCCCCCCACCCCCGTGGTAGTGCTTGGGGGCGGGGCCTTCGGAGAGTGCCCAGGGTCAGGTGAGGTCGTGAGGTCCCTCGATGGGGTTAGCGACCTTGCGGAAAAAGGCTGAGGCTGAGCCCACGCGCCAAGATCAAACGTGTGAAGACCCAGCCCCTGCCAGGCCTTCCCCGAGAGCCCGACGGTGCACTGGTCTCCACAGAAATGACTGGCTGTTTGCTGGTGAGGCCGCCCCATCCGTGTCACTCGGTGCCAGCGGCCTGAGCTGATGCAGACTGGTCCCCAGACCCAGCCTGCGGCCAGGTGGGGGTACCTGTGCGCGCTTACCCAGCACACAGGGAGCTACGTTCTCCCCTGTGCTGGTTCCCAGAAGCGAGACTTCCTCGGTCCTCGGCAGCGGGCCCGTCCCCTCCCCCGCCATCCCTAAGTAACCATGTCCCTCCCCAGCCCGGAGCCCACCTCAGCTGCTCCCGCGGCCAGCCTGGGTGGTGTCCGAGCGGGCAGGGCTCTCCCTGCCACTTTTTGACTTCAGGACTTGTGAGCCCCCAGTGGGAAGCAACAGGGCCCCTTTGAGCTTTGAGTCCCAGGCAGAGTCCCACTTCTATGGCCTTGTTTTGATCCTGCGGCACCCAACTATGAAACTTGCTCGATTGGGCTTATCAGGCCTCGATACCACCCGGCCACACTCGTGCCGCTCGGGCGACGGGCCACCGCGCCCATCAGCCGTGGACACCGGCTTGGGCCCTAGCTGGGCTGCTGACATTTAACGTTTACGAGTAGGCCAGAAATACTCACTGTTTAGACCGGGCGAGACGGCGGGCTCTCGCGGAGATGAAGCGTGAGATGATTTTATCGAACCCTGGCGGCAAGCGTTGGGGCTGCAGAACCCCAGGGAGGGAGCACCCCCGAGACTGGTGTTGCTTCCATCTGGCTCTGTTGCTTTTTAGTGCCACCTTGCACCACTCACACACCCGTGCCTGGCACAGCGCCTGGGCCGCTTGTGAAGCTGTGCTGTGAAGGCACACACCTGGCTGAGGACGCACTCACCTGGCCGGCGCTGAGCGCAGGTCCCTCCGGGAGAGGTGAGCGCCCACAGGCCTCTCTAGCATTTCTGTGGTCAACTTCATTTCGCAGACAAGGCTCAGAGAGGTGAAGTGACTTGCTCAAGGCCACCCCAGCAGTTGGTCACTCACTGCCTGGGCCCCTCCCCTGCAGCAGGAGGCAGCAAATAGAAACACACGCTGCTGTCGAGCATCTGCTGACCAGATCAAGTCCACTTTCCAAGACTGGGTCAGGCGGGCTGAGGGGAAGGCCCAAGAGTGTGCAGTCCCCACCCTCCACCAACACACGCGGGAAGATCTCGTCTTTCCTCATAAAGTGGCATAAAGCGGCTGTGTGTATCAGAGTTCCCGGAGGCGTGAGGCAAGCAAGTTTCCATTAACCTCTCTGGGCTTCCGTTTCCTCATCTTAAAAAGAGACAAATAGGGCGCTCCC